GTTTTTTGTTAAGTTACATGTTTTAATTGTTAGATAATTTCGCGAAAAATTGTTAGATTGTTCTTATATATGCACTACCAATATAAGTTGCTGTATTTTATTTTTAAGTTCTATGTTTTTAATTGTTAGATATTTTCAAGAAAAAATTACAACTATAAAATTATATATTTCTTTATGCACTGCCATTGAATAGTGTTTGCGGGTTGGGTTTTTTTTAAAAAAAAAAAGTTACATGTTTGTAATTACAGTCCATATTTGTTACATTGCTTTTAAAAAAGTAACCTACTAATTATATGTTAGACAAAACATTTTAACCGAGAACATGAAAGATTCTCAATCACAAGATAAGGCTTTTTGGACTAGAGAGATGTTGACCATATTTTGTGACATCTGTATCAAAACAATTAAGAAAGGTATACGATTGAACACATATTTCAACAAAGCTGGTTGTAAATATATTATGAATTGTTTAAGGAGCGAATTGGCATTGCATTAATGAAAGAAAAATTAAATAATAAATGGGATGGAATAAAAAAGGATTGAAGAATATGGAAACAACTGATTTATGAAATAGGAATAGGTTGGAGTGCTAAACTTGAAACAATTTCGGCATCTCAAGAGTGGTGGAAATCTAAAATCAAGGTCTTTTTTTTAGTATGTGTATAACTGCAATAAATTTTTTATTCTTTTTGTTATAATAATTATGATGCATTTTTGTTGGATTATCCCTTGTTGTAGGAGATACGAGGAGCACGAAAGTTTAGGCATGTTGGTATCGATCCTGCGTTGTGTTGTAAATATTATACCATATTTACAAATATTATGGCTACCGGTTAATATGCTTGGGCTCTATCATAGGGTTTAAATTATGAAGAAGATGGTTTCAGTCAAAGGAGAAATAATGCATTTAATGAGGATCCATATCTAGAGGAAGGTAGTGGTGAATCTGAGGAGGATAGTTTACCAAATTTTATAGAGAATGTTAATAATATGGTTGTTGGTGAAAATTTTGCCAATAATACTATCAATCTTGGTAGTAGTAGTAATGGGAAAAGAAAAGGTATTCAGTAATATACATAAAAAAGTGAAAAAAAAAAGGGTTTGGGAATGAGAGCGTAATTGTTTTCACATTTAGATTAATTGGTTAATAGTTAATCTAATAAGAGTCAAGTGGTTGGGATAAAAAAAGATGTAGCATAAAAGAGGTCATGAAGGAGTTTCACTCCATTAAGTGGTTTTTGGTAGTCACTTTTACTGTTTTGCAACTAAGTTTTCATGATTAGAAATAGGAGGGAAATGAGGGCAGCAATTAGAGATAAGGATAAAAAATTTCAGTGGCTGAAATTAATGTTCGAGAGAAGGTCAATTGTAAAACCTTGACGTGTGTAAATCTACTATAATGTACTTACTCTTATTTATATTTTATTTCTCAGCAGTTGTATATAACACTGATTTTTTTTTTGTTACAAGAGCATAATACGAATCCTAATGATGAGGTGTATTCATGAGTTGCTATTGTTGTGTGTTGTTAGCCATTGCTATTTTTTCGCACTTCTAATTTGTAATGTATGTTATGTTGAGAAATTGCATCTTATTTGTATCTGTTGGATATTGATTGATGTTTGAGAGGGTTGAAAATTATTAACTTGCTTCCTGTTAGAAGTAAGTTGCTGTAAGTTCTAAATGTGGTTTGAATTGCTGTAACATTTATGTTGTGTTTATTGTTGTAACATGAATTGGATATTGCAATTCTTTAGTTTGAATTGGTGGTATATGATGTTACGTTACATGCTTCCTGTTGGTTATTGGTTGTTGATTGTTAGCTTTTAGAAATTTGAAATGGTTGGTGTAGTCAAGTTGGTTTGAATAGTTGTTGGCTAGCATTTTCATGTTGGTCCCTTCATGTCTTTCATTGCCTATTTCAGTTCAGGTTTTTAATTTCAGCATATTCATTAGTTGCAATTAGTTCAACCATAATATATCTTTAAACTACCAACAAGTTTATTTCATTGCCACTTAATCCCACATTGTGTTTTGAGAAGGTTAGGTATTGGTTTTTAGGTTTTATAATAAGGTAGTTTTAGTTGTAGTTAGCTTTGTGTTGACTTTCTGTTTTTATATTCTCATTCCTCAATTAATTGCTTTCATTATTGCAAACTGAACTGCATTTTTTTTGTTAGAATTAATGCTTGTGATGCATGCAATATTGTATTCATTAATTATTGCTAAAATATTTACGATTATTTAGGAATGCTTACATAGTTATTATTTTGATTTAAATTCAAGATGCCATGAGATTTAAATATTCAAGACAAATTACATGTGTGAAAATTATGTTGTGTTATAAATATGGATGTAAATTAGTTTAATGATCTATTTGATAACAAGTATGATAGTGTTATGAATAATGTTGTTTAATATGTGTCAAATAGTTTTGGAATTAGTAGCGGTGCTGGTAATGGGAGCAATACAGATGATGACGACAATGTAAATGAAAACAATGATGATGAGGAAGGCAAATTGTTTTGGCTTGGAGAGTGTGATCACAATAAATTAATATTATGCATGGTTGGAGCACTGATTTTATATTATAATAATTATATTTTAAAAGAACCATGTATAGTTTCATATAACATAGGAATGAGATGGTTGATTGAGATTTTAAAAAGGCATTGAGTACATTGTGTTAGTATATTATTTCGGATAGATGCAAAAACATTATAGAGTTTGTGTGTTCATTTGAAAACATTGTACAAGCTAAAATAGTCTAGAATGATGAGTGTTATTGAGAAGGTAGACATGTTTCTCTATACTTTAGCTTTAAAAACTTTACACAGGAAAGTTTAGGAAAGATTTCAACATAAATAGACATTTCAATGAAGTTTTGAAATCAATATACTTGCTAGCTGTTGATTTTATCAAACTTGTAGATTCATAATTCTCAACAACACCAATGAAAATTGTAATGAAGTCAAGATATATTACACATTTCAAGATAAAAAATACTTTATCTAAGTTGTTAAATAATTGAAAAATATTACAAAAAATACTTGAAGTACATTTAAATTGCTTCTGAAACTATTTCTTTATTTTTATAGAATTGTATTAGCGCGATTAGTGGAACACATATATGTGCTTATGTATCACAAGCAAATCAAATACTATTTATTGGTAGAAAAGGTGTACCAACTCATAATATAATGACTGCATGTAACTTTAACATGCAATTTACATTTGTTTAGGCTAGGTGGAAAGGTAGTACACACGATAGAAGAATATTTCATAAGGCGATTGACAATCCAAATATAAGATTTTTGAAGCCACCAGAAGGTATTACAAAATAAAAAATTTCGGTGTTGTTCAATTTGAATAAATTTATTTTATTTGCAATATGAAATAAGTTTTGTATTTTCATTATCTTATTGTAGGGAAGTATTATCTCATTGATTCGGGATATCCAAATAAGTATGGTTACTTAGGACCATATAAAGGTAAGAGATATCATATTTCAGAATTTCATTAATGAGGACAACCGCAAAGTTAGGAAGAAATATTCAACCTTGTTCATTCATCGTTACGATGTGTAATAGAACATACATTTAGAGTTTGAAAAAAAAAGGGGAGAATCTTGCAAAACATGCTAGTGTCTCCTTACAAAATAGAAGTTCATATTGTCGTGGTATCAATGGCACTGCATAACTACATTCAAAGAAAGTTAATCCAAGATGTTGTATTTAACGCGTTTGATCGTCATTCTACTTTTGTTCCTGCTAATACTTTAAGTGACATGGTTCCACAGGCACAAACACGTGGACACCAGATAACTTCAAATATAGATCATGTTTGTGATGAGATTGTAACAAGTTTGATAGGGAAATAATGTTGATTTTTTTAAATGAATATATTTCTTTTTATACTATTTATTGTTTGTACTAAATGTTATTTTTCTTATTAAAAAATAAATTAATTTATGTCCTTTTAATCATTTTCTATACAACACCAACTCTAACCATAATTTTAATCAAATATATCATGCCATGATTTTTGACAAAATAAAATCAAACCACAATTTTAACCAAACGCACACTTTATATAAACCAACTATATCAAAAGTGATTTTTTTAAAATTATTTTTTTCAAACCACAACTACAAAAATTATCATAAAAACAAATACATATTGTACTAGTTTCTACATCGGTGTGATGCATGGAGCTATTTTCAAATTTAATTTATTTAATTATATAAAAATAAAAATAAATATTCACAATACTCTAAAGATTTAAATTTTAATGGAGAAAATGTACTTTTTAAATCCAAATCTTCATTTTTTATTGTTATTTTTGTTTTGTGAAAAATATCTTTTATTATTTACAATGTAGTTTTTAGTAAGAAAAAAAAAATCAAAGCCAACTAAAATAAATATTCTCAAATATGTCAATAATTTCAATTAATGAGTGAAACAATATATTTTTGGAATTAAAATATTTACTTAAAATATAAACATGAAATCTCTAATCTTATTTGAAAAGTATAGAATACTTAAAAACGTTTTCTAGGTCTAAGAGATCAGGACTCCTATATATATATATATATATATATA